CATTTATATACGTGGTGTATATATGTGGTACTCCCATATGCACCTTCTCCAGACCTTATCAAAGCTAATGGAAGATGCCCATTGACATAGGGAGCTTTAAATCAGTCCCTGTGTGACATCCAACTTGCAAACTCTAGTTTCTGTCCAGCCTAACATTCAGGAAAATGACTTTGCCTCAGCTCAGCTTATGATTCCTACTTCAACTGCAGTTAAAAAATAAGGTTTCCCCCCACCCCCAAACAGGAAGTATCTAGCAAACGTGTCTGCGATTTTGAGAACTGAAATGTTAAACGATGTATAAACATTTCAGAAATTAATGATCCCTGTCACATCCCTTTTCTCTGGCCGTGGCACATGCATTCTTGCCCCAGCTCACATCCATTTCAAACCCAGCTGGAAGGACTGTCCCTCCAACCTCTCACCTTGCTCAATTCACCCTGAGCTTCACATCTCTCCAGCTTCCCCCGTCTCCCTCATACCAGACATAAGCTGCCTGCCTTCATCTTCAAAGCTCTGCTCTTCTCTTTGCCCTCTCACCTCTCATTTTCTACCCAGTTATCAACACCTATTCCCAAACTTCCCAAATCCAGCCCCAGACACCAGCATCAACTTCTTAAACACTCAGAGCACTGCACTGTCTGCCCATCAAGCCTCTTCCCCCAGGGAGGATGTTCCCTTTTCATATCTACATCTCCACCCTACAAATCTCCCTGTCTGCAGAATTCTTAGTCTTAAAAGGAAATATGTTCTTGTTCTCCTGAAATCACTTATGTGGACGAGCATCGACTTACTATTCTGAAACTCATCCTTCCCCCAGTTGGTTCACCTTCAGCCGTTCCTCTTGCATTGCATTAAAATACTATCTGTACAGGTAGGGACGGCATTTTTGGTCTGTGACTGTACAGTACCTGGCATAAGGAGGTCTTAGTTGACCTTAGAGACTGGGGCCTCTAGGGTTCAAGGACATAACAGACTCTTCTGTACCAAATAACATTTTTATAAACAGCATTTGCTGCAAGAGAAGCAAGAAAGCCAGAATGCCTCCATAGCCCAGGAGACGAGGAAATTTCTCCTTCTTTATTAACATTGAAAATTACAAATCAAACCATTCTAAATTTCTCACATAACCAAAAATGAAAACCAGACATTTATCTACCGCATAGCCAGCGATCTAGCTGAAAGGGAACTTTATGGTCTGAGACATGCTAAATTTGTTTTCAATTATTCTGTCCACATACAAAACCTTGATGAAGCCATACAAATCAAATGGTACTGCAAGATCAGAGAAAAGGAAGATTCAGCTAATGGTATTCATGGCCAAACCATTTTTTTTTTTCTTTTTTCTTTTCACCAGTCAGCAGGAGGTATCTTTGCATAGAAGGATTAATTCCCCCCTAGAAGGGGACCACATGCAGCATCAATGCAATCCTGGCAACCTTCCTCCAGTATGGCAAATGTAAAGCGACACTCACTCTTCTGAGCTATCATTACTCATCTAGCAAATATTTGCAAGGCATACAAAGAGAGGGTCTATGCCCCAGAGACCTTACAACCCAAGGGCCTGAATTTGCAGCCTCCGCTTACATGAATAGCGCCATTGAAGTCAACAGGCCTTAAGAAGGGGTTGTGCAAGAAAGAATTAGAGACTCCAGCCCAGCCGCAGCTCAGACACCTACGATAGCTCACTCGCACAAGCACTTCGGGAGATTGCGAGGAAGGAAAACAGGGTACGAGGCTTTGTGCAAACATGCCAGTTGGCTCTGGAAGCGAGGTGGAGAAGGAGTGGAGCTGGACTCCAAGCACAAGGGTTGGTACCGGAGAAGCAGCGTTGCCAAGAATGTGATAAATACGATGGCAGCCATGGGGAGATTTAGAAATGTATAGAGTGTATAGAAGATGAAAGGCGACAGAGGTCAAAATGGTAGATCTACTGGGACCAGGCATAAATGTAGGAATCGCCCCCTTTTATCCATGGAGGCCCATTAAGCCCGGGTCCTCTGGGAGCCGTACTGAAACTCATCCTACATATGGTACTTTCAAAATCCAAGATTTCCTGGCCTTCAATGAAAAGCCATTATATGACCAAAAGCCATCTTGTCTTTACAAGGGGAGAGGGAGAAGAGTAGTTTTTAAGTACTGAGCATGTTTATTGTCATGCCTGACAGAGTAATTCTTTGTGGATCCAGCTAAGATGACGAGAGGATCCTTTGGACTGGAACGGTTATTACGGTGAGAGCAAAGCAGCTTTCGCTCTACCCTGGCAGAACAAAATCCCAGAGTTATAGGTGGGAGACTGGAATGGAGGAAAACAGATAATAAATTACAAAAGAAAATTTGCCCCCAGTGAGCACAGTCAGTAGCAGCTGTAACGGAACTGGCTACATACACAGTTTTTAATACTTGGCCACCTTTAAAAGTAATTTTAAGTGGTGTTTGCTCATGTATAGAATGAGTTCCCAAGACAGAGCTATTCATGGTCTTCTAATAATACGTATGTCTGTGGGTATGTGTCTGTATAAATGTATACATACTTAAAGAAGAGAGGAATTGATTGCCTGTTCATATGGCAATGTTTGTATCATCTGCTGGATGAGGGGGTATAAAACACATAGTAAAAGGCCTTCTGGTCCTCCACGGGACCAGATTTTAAATCAGTTGTTTGACCAGTGGAAGGAAGGAACATAATTATTGGGCAATTTATGGCATACGCTTTGGGATGACATCACTGTAAAATCAAAATAGCATTATAAAATGCCAATACAAAGAGAAAAATATATGTAAAAGAGTCAAATATCCCCATTTAAAAGGGTGTGTCCTTACCTTGAGTTAACTGATTATGTTTTAAAGGATAATATAGGTGATCATTTACCATAAGCATTTCCATTTACCTTTCATTTGCTAAGAACACATCAGGATGACTTAGAAACAAAAAATGAAGACGGACAGCCCACAGAAATGCTCCAGGAACTTTAAAACCGGAGTTTTACACCCAGCATTGCCACCAATTTACTACATAGCTTTGGTCATGTCATATAACCTCTCCGTTTATCTGTAACAGGGAAACAGTGATGCTAACCCTACTTTGCAGGGACAGAAATGAGTTAATATTTTGTGCTGCATTTTTAGATAGAAAAATTAATTGTGAGCTAGAATGAAAGAATACATTAAAGCTATGTTTCAGATATATGTCTCTCCTCAAAATTGAACGAGAGACTGTTACTCTCCATAAACGCTCACCTCCACTATGCCAGGCAGCTGCTTTAGTATTTAACCATAACGCTGATCTTTTCTTTGGCAGGGCAATGGAGTAAAAGTGACCCTTAAAGAACCCTACAGAGAAGTGAAGACTTAAAACAATTTTTAAATAACAACATTAAAATTCATTTTTTTCCTCCCTTAGCAACAACCTAGCCGCTCGAAAGTCTCAGTTTTTCAGTCCTACTCTTCCGCTCATCACACGGGAAGGGAGACAGCAGCTCGCCCTGCAGCTGCCCGAGGGGAGGACGCAATGCCCTGCAACGGGAGCTTCAGCAGAGACGAGAACAGAGGACCAGCCCCGCGCCAAGGTGTTCCCTTACTCATCTTTCCGTGAAGCAAACGAAATCATCTGGATTTCAGTTTCAAGAGAGTAAGAATCGAGAAAGATTTATGAATACAGAATTCTAGAAGGAAATGTTTTTGTGTATTATAAGGTGACCTATTCACAATAAAACTCCCCCAAACTGTATACAGATCGAGCTGGAAAAAACCCAACTCCTTTGAGTCACATTTGCCACAAGGGGAAAGAGAAGCCAGACATGATGTGTACCTTTCCATACTCTATTTTGGGATTTTAAGATCCTATTTCTTTCAGTTGAAAGATTTTTCTTAAACTTTGCTTTTGCATAACTCTTATAATATTAACATAGCCAGACATGGGCTGGTCTGTGACCTGAGGAAATGCAAAGCACTTTGGCAGATAAACAAATAACATCATTCAGAAAACAAGGAGACTTTTCTTGTTTGGTTTGCTGCTATGATTGGGTTTCTAAACAAAATGGAAATGTGTGGCATGATTATAATCATCAACTCACCTCTGCATAAATAAAATTCATTCATTCTGCACTTCATCTGTGGATCAATATCAGTTAAATTCAGGGCAGGGGGGTATTTAAGTGCTATTTTCAGGAAGGCACGTGTGTAATTCTGCATGCAAAAAATGAGCAGAGGTGCCTTCAGCTGCTGTGTATTGGCAGCCCAGTTACCCGCCTGAACACAATTCCTGTGACAGTACCGGCAACCGCAGCCATCGAGACCACACATCAGGCATAGGAAACAACACATTTTTTTTTCCTGCACTACTTCAAAACTCAGGTCTTCTTACAAACTGAACCCCCAGCTCCAAATATACAAGCACTTAAAGCCAGAGTTTAAAATTCACACCTAAATCAGTCCCTACT